TTCTGCAGCCAGACAAAGTGTCTAAATGCATGTTTGTCTCCAAACTGGTGATGAATGTAGTTTAAACAAGGCAAACTTTGGGGACTGTAACCTTTTTTAGCTTACTGTAAAAACAGTTTACTGAGCTTTCTAATGACTTTAATACATTTTGGCTATTAAACTTGTAACTTGAATGAGGAATATGAGATTGTTTCTGGTCTAGCGGGCTTACTTTCTGTTCCATAGATGTCATAAATAATAATAATAAAAAAAAAAAAGCTGATTTTTTTTCAGCATTCATTAGCAATGGAAGTAGAATTTAATAGCAACTCTAAATCATCAGGATAAATATGGTGAATTTTCTGTTCCATGTGTTTTCTGGAAACTGTGCAAACATCACACACTGGCTGAAGTCAGCTCCTTAAAAACACAAAGTGTCCTGTGACCTTCACTGGATGCAGGAGCTCCGTGGTAGAGAGACACGAAGGAAAAGCCCACTGGAAGTAGTTTGGTGTCCAAGCAGGACTGATGGCAAACAGCTGCCAGCTGGAGGATTGGCAAAGGATTCATTTTCTATTGTGGTTATCTTGCTCCAAAAGCCCTTCCCAGGTTCAAGCACTTTCCAGAGATAAGGAAATAATGAGAGAAAGGCAAAAATAGTGCAAATACTGCATCTGTGGTCCTTTTGGGAGTCATATGTCAAGTCAGACACTGCACAAAAGGCTTCCAGCCTGTGAGTTGGTGGAGCTGCCCACCATTTCTAGACAGAGGTTGGCTTTAATTTCTCCCTGTGAGGTAGTTACTGAGGCTGCAATAACAAAAGGATTACAGGGATATGTGATTGGATATTGGAAAAGGGCCTTTGTAACCAAGCAGAGGAGGAGGCACTTAATTTGTTTAAAAACAAAAGCTCCCATTTCGAGGGAATCTACATCACAATCTGTGTGAAGCCCTAATTCCACAAATCCATCTGTGCTTCCACTGGTACGGGGAATTACTGACCCTAGCAATGCCCAGATGGCAGATAAGGATGCAGAAAAAGATTGCTTATTTTATTAACTCTAGCTACCTGGGGGAGGGGCTAAGCCCCCCATTTCAGAGTGGGGACACAGCGAATACACTGTGACAATTAAATCCAATTAAAATATCTTTCACAGGAAATCATGACAGAAAGGTGCTCCTAATGTCTTTTTCTCTTGATGTGGCAGAGGAATATGTGTAAGGCTGGAAGAGTGAGTCCTGCCTCATAAATGGAGGAAGATGAATTAATAAATTTTGCAGCTGGGGTGTGTGGGGGGAGGTGGCTAGAAATCTGTTTCTTTTGTGATATTTATCTGGGAGCTAGCTAAGGATTTCCATGAAGTCTAATTCTCAGAGTCTAATTTAAATGCCTGGTCTCTCTGTATAATTATTGGAGACACAAAGGCTTGTGCACATGCACTTGGAGTCCTCTGAGGAGGACTTTTTGATTGAATTGAGAACATTAGTTCCCAGTCAGCATTCACATAAGACATGAAAAGCTTGAGAGCAAATATCCTGAAAGGTCTTTTAAGGTCTTCTATTCCATTTTTTGGGAAAAGGGCTGGAAGTCTTGCACACCTGAGATGAAGGGCCCCATTTGCTACATCAAACACAAAGTTTTTCTCATCCGCCAGCATTATACGGAGCAGCATATCTGCAATTTTGTGTAATCAAACACTTTGGTAGATATATAAATTAATCCTTCCACATATGAACCTTCTGTCCCATGCTTTTGACCATTTTATTTTCCAGTAATTGGAAAGCTGTATGAATCACTGATGTGAATTTCTCAGTTTTGCCATTGACAATGCAGATGGAAAGCTGGTTCATCAGGTTTTAATTTCTTTTGTAATTGTTTTGGTGGTAGAAAGGAAAACAGAATTGTACGATGGCAAACATTATTTTGGATCTTCATGAAAATGAGTTTTGAATAAGAGGAAGGTGAAGACACACCATGTCTTCTAAAATCAATAAAGGGATACAAAATCTATAAATAAAAATAAAAATTTAAGAGGGAGTAAAAAAAAAGGTGGAGTATAAGATAAAATCTGTTGTAATGTACTTTCCATTTGGTATCCTCTGAAATGAGCCCACCATATTTTCATTATACAGTTTAAAAGAGGCCAGGCTGTGTTAAGTTTACAACATACATCAATGCATAAAAAGGCCCTTACAAAAACATCAGAGAGTGAATAGGGGAGTACTTGTTTACCCAGCAGACAAACCCAAAGCACCACAGAAATGTTACCAATAAAGTGATTAAAATATCTGTCATTTTATGAGGGGCAATAACAGTGATGAGATGAAGAATCTAAATTAGCCTGAATTTCATTGCTGTGGTAATTTTTTTTAAAAATTATATTTCCAATCTTCATTTTACTGTGATTTTTCCTTGCGTATCTGCCCTAGAACTGTGTACTTTATGGATGAGTGACACTTTGTAGAAACCAGCACCCTGTCTGAAGATTGATGATGACCAAGGCAAGGCAGATTGGCCCATGTAAATCTTTTTGGTGATTACAGGTCCAGCTGATGTAGGATGGATGCCAAATGTCTATTAACACTGGGCTTTGTGAATATTTTAGCATTTGCCTGATGTTCCAACCCTCCCCCAAAAAAGACATATGAAGCAAACAAAACCGATGCACTTTGGCCTCCCTTTACTTTTGTGGATAATGGCTGGTTTTGCTGGAAAGGTTTTATCTTAGTTTACTCTCTTTGCAGAAAACAGATATTTCAGCCGATGCTCTCCTTGCTTATTGAAAACAACTGTGCTGAGTTTAAGCAGAAAGTCAGAGCTGAAGTCCCTGGTGGTGTCTCACAGCTCTTTGGCCGCAAAGAGCCGTGGCTCTGTGTCCATCAGCACTTCACTCAGGCCGGATGGCTCCTGGAAGAGCCACAGTGGAAAGCACAGACCTCTTGGGAGCCCTGCTGAGGGGGAACAGTTTTGAAAGCTGGAGAGCCACACAGCTTTTGTGTGCACTGTTTCTGTAGGTGGAGCAGAAGGAATCTGTAAGATCTCCAGGAGTGAGGACAACATCCCAGCAGAACTTTGGGTAGAGCCAAAGTTCTGGAGACTGGGAAATGCACCGAGGGTGCTGTGGGTGCATTTCCATCCCTAGGCTGGGAGGGACTCAGTGTTTCAAGGGGAAAATACTTCAATGAAGAAAACCAAGCAAATTTCAGGTAGCCAAAAGGTGTTTAAACTATGCATTATTGTTTAAACTGTGTGCTTGCATAATGCAGTGCAATCTCTTTCATTGGTGATAAACTGGAGATGCTTTAAGACCAAACTTGTAAATGCTATATTGCCAGAAGAACATGGCACATAGCCCTTTGACAGAAATGTTACTGGGAATATCAGGATGAAATAAGAAATAGGATATGGAGCCTAACAGAAAGACAAAATGATAGATCTGTTTTGTTAAGTGAGCTGTGAATAATCTGCTAAGGAATATAGTGGAAAGGTAATAGGAGGCTGGCTGCTCAAAACTGGCATGAGTTTTGATCCCAAAATACTCATTAAGGCAACATTGGGATTGCAGTCAAAAACTTGGCAAGAAAATATTAACTTTGTAGGACATAAAGGGGCTGTGCATGTACCTTACTGGGCAAGTAAAATGGGAAGGAAACAAGTAATGGTGGGTCGCGGGCATCAGTGTTTAAACAGCTTGAAGAATTTGGAGCAGTTCATTATGAGAGACACCAAATAAAAAAGTGAAGGTAGAATTACAAATACGTGGCTTGTAAACAATCCTTGAAGGAGAAGAATACACAGGGAAAATTTTTGCCTGCATGAGCGTATTCGATGATTTGATGTTTCATCTCCTGACCGCTACTGAAAACTGAGCTGTCAGCACTGACTGTTAAACCTTGTTCCTGGGTGTTAATGAGCAGATCAGAGCCAAACATTTTATACATCGCTTTAGCAACGTGTTTTCCCACATGAATTATTTTATGTTTATGTAAAAGGGTTCATTTCATTAAATAAAAGTAGCACAGTTTCTTCTGTCCCCATGGGAGTGCAGAACAAGGCATGATGTAGATCATCAAAGGTTTCTGAAATCATATATGCTCCTTCACCATGTGTACAAGAAACCTTACAACAGACACTTAGGAAATCATCAACCAGGTTAACCAATGTATAATTTAGCAGTTAGTGGTTCTACTTCTCCACAAAAAAAGGAGAGAATATAGCTCCTTTTAGTCTGTTTCTTTTCTTATTATTTTTGTTATTATTAGCCTTACCTAAAAATATTTATCATGTACACCAATGTCTAATCCAGATGAGTGATATAAACCTGTTCATCTTTTTTCGCTCTTTAATTGTGCATTGTTGAAGGATGGTTCAGGAAAGCTTCAGCAACAGGAAAAGGTCTTTCCAAGTAGTTTATTTTCCGTGATATTTAGTCATTATTGAAACCACCCATAAGTTATTTAGGAATGTTTTATCTCTTCTTGGGAGGAAAGGAATGGGTAAAACACTCTGTGTCTCACTGAACCCATCCTGTTCTCCTGCAGGTAGAAAAGCCTGTGCAGGGCAGGAGGAACATGGGAGCATTATGAATGGTGCTATCACTACTCCCCAAAAGTTAAACAAAGGCAGCTGGGACCTGCGGTCACCTACAGAGGAACAAAGGCTGTAATTGCACCACTGAGCTATGCTGATAAAGCTACCTTTCAAACACAGGCCTGGATATTTTTTTTCTCTACCGCTGAAATCTCTGGAAAGCCCTAAATAATTGACTGTTCAGGAGCCAGGAGCCGAAATAGAAGTTGGAAGTGCTGTTTGCACAGGTGGCTGGCCTACTGGGAGACTAAATGCTTACCCCCTTGCCCATATCAATTATTCTGAGACTGTCTGTTTAATGTCTGCCCAGTTTTGATAACAACAAAATCCTTTCAGAAAACTGCTGATGCAACATTTATTGTGTTATCTTTATGGGATTTAATTTTTCTTTTTTTTTTCCCCTTTTCTTTCCTGTTTTCATTTTTTACAGCACTATAGTGAGCAAAGGTACTGAAGGAGCTGCCAGGAGAGTAAGGTAAGAAGTCAATTAAACTACCACCCCAAATTTTCCAGGAGTTTAAAAGTAAACAGTCTGAGAGACCCTATGGGGATCTAGGTTGGTTTACTTTGAAAGCGTGGGTATGGGCTTCTGTACAAACAATGAAATTCAACCATTCCTCCTTGCAGTTACCAAGGGACTTACCTGTCTCTTAGAAAAGCCTGACTAAGGTGAAATTTTGCCTTCTGGTCCAGACACTGCAGCAGGTCTCATACCACACACCAAGATTTGCTTAATATGTACCTTTTATTAGCTTGTCCCCGTGGAAAGCAATAACTGGGATAAATCCAGTGAGAATCCCCCAAATAAGCAGATGGTGAGATCAGAGCAGTGCTGAAAACAAGCCAATGCCTCATCTTTCTGTGGAGATCTATCCAAGCTGCAAGGGGAAAGTCCCCTTCAGAGCAGATTGAGACATTTGGTGGCATCACAGGTCTTCTGCACTTCGTGTTTCATTCCAAGCCCTGATTTGCAAAGCCAAACGTTTGGGAAAAGCAGATCTGCTTAAGAAAAAAAAGTAAAAAGCAACAATAAGTTGCTAAATCTCCTCTCTAAGAAGGAAAGTAATTAAAAAAAAAAAAAAAACAACAAACCAAAACAAAAAAAAACAACCCAAACTCTAACTTGTGGCCTCAGTGCCAAAACTGCACAGAATTTTGGTCCTGATTCCTGATTACAAAACACTTGGGTTGCCAATTCCGTGCAATTCGGAGCAGCAATAGTGAATCAAGCAAATGCCACCCACCAAGTGTCTGGGCTCAGCAGCAGCTCTGCTCCTTCCTCTTGTTACCTCAGTTAACCTAGACCTGTTCCCTACCCAAACTGTTTGTTTAACCTAAAGAATAATAATGATCCAGTGCTGCCAATTTGTCATGTGGGAAACGTTATTCAGTCCCTTTAAAAGAGCTCATGGGCCAAAGCACAGGAGAAAGTGTGAAAGCCAGCAGTGAGAAACAGGAAAGTTCCAGTAAAGGAGAAGCGGTGGCTGCAAACTGCTATAAAATCCATGAACATCTCAGAGGAGAAACCCAAGTTGCCATTTTAAGGTGTGTAAGTCTCAGTAGTTGTCTTAACCCTGCTCGATGAGAGAATTTTGGATAAGGAGGCACTTGCACCAGGACATGGACTAGTAATTAACTTTATTAACATCCTGTGCTTTTGGATGCCACACAGGTGGCATTGGGTCATGGGTGAGTGACCACAGAATGAGGGGTGTTGCAGGAGACAGCACTGCTTGTCAGGGCTTCTTTGTGCTGGAGCTTTTCTGTTCTCTTGCTCATTACTCTGACCCCAATTGCTTGTTTGCTTGGCTATGCAGAGTTGGGACTACTCTGCTGTGGGATGGAGAATGTGTATGAGCAGAGGGAATAGCTGGGAAATATAGGAGAGGAGCAGAGAAGCCCTGTGTAATGAAAAAAAAAAAAAAAAAAACACTTAAAAATAGTTTGAGTGCTTCCCTCATACAGAGAAGCTGAAGCAGTGATACTGGAAGTTTTTGAGGCCAGTGTTATGTACCCACCATACAGCGATAACCAGAAATTCATAGAATAACTATTTTTATTAACTCCAAATGATGTTACCCAAACACAGTCAAAGTGAAAAAAATCTGGGGACTGTGCTAAACCAGTTAATGTATTGATGGATTTTTCTTCTCCATTAACAGGAAACTTGGAAGAGACAAAGTAGACACTACAAATACATAGCACTTAGGAATTCACAGTAATTTTGTGGCCAGTTATTATTTCCTGATCTCTCAGGTTCAATGTTAATGAGAATGTGATGAGATATAGATCTTCAAGATCATCAAACTCGCAGTCAAAAACTAATGGTTAAAGGGGGGAATGTTGCTTCCACTGATGCCAATTCTGCATCCTGCCTGAGTATGTGGTCTTGCTTTTAGACAGAAAGTATGAGGGAGATCAAATGGTAATGTTCTTGCTGTAATATTTTGTTTTGAAGCCAAGTCCCTCTAGACAAGGACCATCCTTGACAGCCTGTCATCAGGCTCCTGGAAGGTAGGGTTGAGAGCCCACCTACCAGTGACTAATATTTTCCTTTTTGGACAGGGGTGAGTGTGTGGTTTCCAGGTCAGACAAAGTATCCCCCAAGGAGAAAGATCCGACTTATGGATTTCCTGCACTTTCCTATTGTCTAGCAGTGTCTGGGAGCTCATGTCAGTACTGTGCCTAGTTATCATCAATCCACAAATTACATTTATTTAAAGGCCAAAATGTCCTCTCAGAGAGCTCTGCTTGGTTCAGATTTCTGAAGCAAGCATTCTCACTTTTCTGTGATCATCTGGGCAGTGACAACTTTTCTCTGTGCAGATCACATTTTAAAATTCACCCTGTAATTAGATGAAATGAAAAAAATGTCTTCCAATGTTTCTTTAGGTTGGTGGGTTTTATGTATCTCGGTGGCATCTGGTAATTTCTTATCATTATTGTCCAATTGCTTTGTAAAGGAAAAGAACATTCAGCAAGTAAGCAAAATGACCGAGAGCTGAAAGAGGAGCACCCGTTTTCCTTTCAAAGTACCCTGTCTTGGAATTTCCTGGGGTAAGCTGTCATTATCAATCCACAGCTTCACATCCCTGGAGGTGTTTAAGGCCAAACTGGATGGAGCTCTGAGCAACTTGGTCCAGCAGAAGGTGTCCATGCCCATGGCAGGGGGTTGGAGCTAGGTGATCTTTAATGTCCCTTTCAGCCCAGAGCATCCTGTTATTCTGTGATGATCTGAGATATTTTATGGAGAAAATTGGCTTCTCAGTCCTGGAGGCCTGAAACAAAGAGCCAAACAGAGAATCTCAGTTCCAGTTATGCTTGTGGACACAGATGCTCTAATACAAACCAGGAGAAACATGCATGACCTCAGGCAATCTAAGAATACTGTGAAATAACAATCAATTTACTTAATTTCTTGATGTTCCAGCTGGATATATACACAAACATTGCTATTGCCTGTTGTGTGCTTGATGTAAGTGGTTCTGGAGAATGAAACAGGAAAAGAGCAGAGTCCTCCTTGTGAATCTGTCTTTAAGTTTATAAACATGCACATACAGTACAAAATTCTGGGGGAGAAATCGCTGCATGTAGATGTGTTATATACAGTACTTCAGGGTTTAAAACAGATGTAGTGGGGTAGTGATGTCACTATGACAAATTGCAGGGTCACTTGATAAACTGAGCCCTCCTCTGTTAAAGGGCACCCCACTTTTGACCTCCTCACCTACAAAATATTTTTGCACCAGGATACTTCTCAGGGCACTGAGAGCCTCTGTCTAACAACAGCTGCCTTGGAAAAATAACCAAAACACATGAATTGCCCCCTCCCACACAAGGTATTTATTTAAGATAAATGTATTGCTCCAGATTGGAGTCTGCTGCAACAGTTGGCGCTGGGTTTATTACAGGTTTCGGATCCAACAAGCCATTGCTTTCAGTGCTAGGAATGTGTTACATCCTGACCTGGTTCTCATCCACACAGTTTGGGTTTTTCCATGATTGTCCTTTGCAATCTCAGCCATTGTTCCAATGGTCCATGCAGTGGTGCTCCTAATTACTAAGTACTTCTTGGAAAGGAGGCTCGTTCTCATCAGATCTGTGTGTTTTTTTGAAGTCTGTTCATATGGTTTTGTGGTGCAGGACTTCACAAAAGAAGGATGGAGAGCAGGAGCCTGTAAAATGTATTTTGAGTCTCTAAGGAACATCCAAAATAAGGGTTCTATAAAATAAGTGCCATATACAGAAGGCAGAGTGATCTCATTTGCTTTCAGTTTTACTGGCAGTTGTTTTATCCAGTTTGTACAAACTCCTTGTGGATGTCTACTCTTCAGGGTAACTTCACAGATTCTACCTAAAAGTTTTTTTTAAGCTGTTCTCCATGGTGCATTCTGAGGTTATTTTGAGATAACAGAAACTCTTACTGGAAAGCTTTTCAAAAATCTGGCTATTCAAAAGTATGGGGTTCAGGTAAAGATCACAATATATTTTTTTTTTGCCCAGGAGATCCACAGAATCACAAAATTCACTGCAAGGAATTCAAAACCTTGACCTGTTTTGCCTTTTCATCATTCATATCTTTATACGCTCTCCCATTATTTCCAAATGTTAGAGTTGTCCATCTCCAATGATGTAATAATTAGCAGTTCTAAAGGCCAGGATGGATGGATGGATGGATGGATGGATGGATGGTGTGTGTGTTCTTCCTGAAGCTGTCTGGTGGCCAATGTCCTAATTATTTCTTAATTAGAATTGATGAGCTGTAGAAGTTGAATTTTCCCTTCTGAAAGGACCATCAGGAAACTGTCTGCACTGTTAGTGTAGCAAAAATAAGCATTTTTCATGTAGTTTTCTCTCTTTTTTTTTTTTTTTATACTAACATAAATGAGTATTTCTTCCAGTTTTGGGTTGTGTATCAAGCTTCCTCTAAATAGCGTGTAACTGGGACTTGATCTCTCACAGATTAAATTACAACACATTGGCCTCCAGCTTTTAAATCTTGTTATCAAATACAGTTTTTATTTGCAATATGCTTTAATGTAAGAGGTGTCAGATGGGACTGGACAACCAGTGACCAATCCACCTTTCCTCATCTTTCAGTGGCAAGAAATGAACTTCTTTCAAGCCTCCTTACACAGCATGATGTCAGCTCTTTACAAAGATGGAAGTTTGATTTTTGTAATTCACAGAAATACCTTTTTTTAAAATGAAATTGCCCAACATGTAAACTAGTAAAGAAATGTAAGTGAAATTCATGATATCTGTGACTAAAATTCAAGTCCAGTCATAATACTTCTGAAAATTAGAACAATGTGATATTTCATAATGCCCTTTATCATTTAGGCATTTATTTCACACTGTGTCTGTTAGGTGAAATTACCTGGGGCAGGCAGGAGGACCTAAGAAATCTTTCTTACAACCTGAAGACTTCTGCTACTCTACTCTTCAGTTACTAAACTAGATGCAGAGGCATTTTCTCTTATTGGTGAGCATATCTAGCATAGCCAGGACCCTTCCTGCTGGGCCTTAGCCCCTGCAAAGTCTTCACAGGGTAGGCGTTGGAGCAACACTTCTTTGAAGATCTCTTCTTGTACAGCAGATTGCCTCTGCCTCAATCTGAGATTGTTTGTAGCATCAGGAACGTAATTAAGGACTGATTTTCAAGACAAGACCTGTCATGGCAGTTGTGAAGTGTTATCTGTCATCCTGACAGAAATACATAAACAGAGAGTGTTGCTTTCCTTCAGCATCCATTATGTGCCTGCTTAACGTTGCCTTCACAGGCATGGAGAAAATTAATCAGCCGCCTACTCATTTGTGCATCCCCTAATTGCTCACGCAGCTGAAGAAGCTGTCACCCAAATTGCCAGAACTGGGTTGGTTCCTGGAGCATTTCGAGAAGCCTGTCTAATGAGCCGCTCCGATGCCGATCACATAATGCGCGCGAAGACAGAAGTGTGACCGTGACACTTGTGCAAACACATTTGGCTCGGCTCCTTTTTAATTAGCGCCTGGAAGCAGGGCTTGCCAGATTCTGGGGGCTGCCTGTGAAGAGGCAGTTTGATTGAGGTCAGCATCCAGTCGTGTGTGCTGCTGAGCACTCGCTGCTGCTTGATCCCTACTGAAAGCCTGCAAGCCTGCAAGTTTTCCCCGTCCACATCCAGCTGAACAAAAGCGCCTTGTCAGGCAGCTGAGGGAAATGAAAGCAGTGTGAGGGAGGCAAAGAGCTTCTCATCTCTGCCATCTTTCCATGAAAATGGTACCTTTCAGCTCACTGAGAGACACAGCTTTTCTTCCCTGATGTGATGTCATGTTATGTTACGTCCCTTTTGATATTTCAGCAAATAAAAATTATTTAGTGCTGTTTCCTCATACATTATCAGAACTGAGAATATCAACCATACACTGTGTGGAACTTGCTTTCTACCACACACAAAATACAGAAAACAACTCAAATTGTACATAACATTAAGCCTATAGGGTAAAATCCTTTCCATATACACATGTGCTATTTATAACTTCTAAATTTCTTTTCTGGCAGAAAGTTTAAGGAAAGCATGTGCAACATCCCCAAATTGCTTACACTACAACACTGTTTTTGGAAAAGAGTCTGAGGAAGAAAAAGGGGTTGTTATTCAGTTTTTATCCTTTAAGGATGTCATGGCCAGTTGAAGAATAAGGAGTGAAATGAAAAGACATTGAATGAGATGTTTTCTGAAGCCTCACTTTTTACAGTTCTTTTGATGTGTCTTCTTGAGAGACTTTGAAGGACTTCAGAGCTGTCACATGATTTTTTTGGATACCAAAAAAAAAATCAGAAAGACTTGGGAAAAAAAAATCGTGAAACAATGTTGTTATTTCTCCAGTGTGGTATGGTCAATGCAGAATAATTAATGTTTATGAGATTCCTGAAGAACAAGGTACACATTATGGGCCATATTTACAGAGTAAGTTTATTTTACTTAATTTCACAGAGAATTATATGAGTAACTCACCAAGTTAAAGTGATGAAGCAAATTAGACTGCTGGGAAACACAGAGTAACCAGGCTGTTGATACTAGAAATTAATGAAGAAAACTATTTAAAATAATTTTTTGCTCTAAACTGAAGGAAACTGTACAAGAATTTAAGTCTGGAAAAATCTGAAAATGTCTTCATGTATTGTTTTACTTGCAGGCCTGGGGGCTCGAATACCAAACATAATGGGAAAAACTCTGAAGTTTCTGTAACTAAAAGCTTTCAAAAAGTGCATTGGAAATCAAACTAAATAAAATAGCTTCATATAATCGAGACTTGGCAGCATCTAAGAGGCCAAATATCTCTTGGAAGATATTTTGTAAGAATCTGAAATAGTTGGTCAGATAAAAGACTTTGGAGAACTTGCAAAAGCATGGAGAATTTGAGGAATGGTATGTTAGGTAGAAAGTGTTGAGGGCTATATTGGTAGAGATGATGGGTGATGTTTAGTTTTCAAAACTAAAAAAATAGGAGAAAGCAGTAAGCAATTGGGAATGGACTAGAAAGTAAAGGAAGAACTATTGAGTCAGTGCTCACAAACCATTGGGACCAGAACTCACTGCCTGGCGAATTCCAGCTCTAATTTTCAGCTTGTTGACCCTTTCTTTTTTGCAAGGTTTCTATTACTGTGATTTGCAAATGGAAACCAGCCACACTCAAGGTGTTCTTAACAAAGGTTTCATAATCTTGGCACTTTTTCTGTTACTTTGACAGAGGGCAGGATCAGCAGAAGATATTCTTTTAAAAAGTGAGGTGTATTGTTAATTCTGTCGTATAGCCTGTCTTCCTTCTCTGTTTAGCAAAGGAAAAGTTCTTTCTTGACCAAGTAACATTTCACAAAAAAAAAAAAGTTATAAAAGAGCTGAGAGCTGCTTTCATGGGTCTGTGCTTTATCCATCTCCTCACAGCCATTGCTGGCATGGAATGCACCAAGTTCTGGCACCTCATGGAGATGGAAGAGGACAGTGGTGCAGGAAGTGGCAAACAAAGGGGAAATGGAACTTTGAAAGGCTTGCAAGTTTGGTATAATTTTGAAAGGCTTGGTATTGGGCAGCCACACTCTCTGTAAGATCTTGCCTGCTTAAATTTAGCAGGAATTTATTACAGAAAAAGAAACAAGCTACTACGGGAGACACTTTGTCAGAAAGACTCCATCCTTTTATGAAAAACATTTTTCTGTGAGGATAGTTTATTAAACTTCACGTAATCTGACAACTGTGGTCTTAAAGTAAAAGACTTTCTACCCCTTTTAAATATATTTTGACCCTTTTCTTTTTTCCTTATGCCTCCCTTTAAGGGACAAATGAGTTCATGAACTTTATCGATAAACAACGTTGCTTCTATCTGGACTTTTGTTTTCCTTTCAAGAGTTTTGCTGAGCCATCTGTAGTTAAATCTTCATTATTTTGGACATATACTTTTCGAACTATTCCCTTTTCCTAGCTCCTAATATAGCAAAGCCATTCCTATTCAGTCATGCTCATAAACATTTGCATAAAGTGAGTTGTGTACTTGAACTGGGGCCTCCGACATATCCTGTTTGATATAGTAGGCCTCATAAAAACAAAGACAAGACAGATGCAATTTGTGCCTGTCTGGAAGTGAAGTGCTTCTCTGCTTCACTCACATAAGCATCACATTCTGGCAGAGAGCAGAACATCTGGGCGCTGCCTGCTTTTCAATCAGCCCTGACAGAAGAGGAACCCTTTTATAATGCAATTAAGTAGTAAGTGTGAAAACCATATCTGTAAAATAGAAATGGTTTCTGAACAGTCCAAAGCATTTTTGGCTTTGGTTGTTGATATGAAATGCTATATGCAGATTCTGAAAGTTGTCTGTCCGTAGTGCAGACTCTGCCAAAGTTAAAAATGTGAGGAGTGGCCTGAGATAATTTAAATTTTTTTCTTAACAAGGAAGCCAGAAATGCGTGCAAAAGTGATAGAACATACAAAGTTGCCTTATTTTTTCCCAGCATTGTATTTTTCCATTAAATTCTCAGTTAAAATGTAAACATTTCTTAGGGTAACAACTGCTGTTCATGACTCTGGTCTCTCTAGTGAGTGTGCTTTGAGGCCCTATTAAGTGTTACTCTCTTTTCTGGGTACAAACCTGTCTTATAATGAAAAACTGCTCAATAGTAAGGTGAAGAAAGCCCAGCAGCCGTTTTCCTGGTGTTAGCAAAAACATCTGGACATCTGATATGAGCTTGGACAGCCAGAGGATCTTCATGCTGGGCAGTTGCTGAGGGTTTTGCCTTGAGATGTACCCACCTACATTCAGAACTATCTTATCCACTGCTGAAGAGTTTGGATGGTCAAGTAGGTTGGGAATCTCTGATAGAAATTTATTTAATACATTGAACACCTCCCTGCAGTTCAGTCCAGTCTGGTCACCAGTGTTGGAAGCTGCTCAGGCATGTCCTTGCTCATCAGCTCCTTTTTGGCCAGCTCTGAGGGCTGGATCCTGTGCTTGCCCTGGGAAATACCAAACTCTCCATCTTCTCTTTGCTGAGTCACCAGTGCCAGAATTCAGGTTAGTCCTTTCCAGGGAATACGCACCTAAACATATGAAAAAGGCAAATTCTGCCATTCTGCCTCCCTGTAAAATCTGTGCTGGGGCAGAGAACCAAGCCTGCATCTCTGAAAATCAGCTTGTATGGCTGGGCCTTCCTGCCTTTGCACACACTGAGGATCTTAAACAAGAAAATTTAAAGTTTATACATAAAAAAAAAGTAAAATCTCACGTTATATTTCTTGTATGATGCGCAGCAATACCCACAAGTGAAACACTGAAGTCCATCATTAAGGATTAGCTATGTAAATATGACCTATCAAAGCGATTCAGTGAAGAGAGTAATGCTCTGTGGAGAACTGAATCATTTAGGTCAGGGGATTTTTTTTTTTTTCACTATTATTTTTTAAAAGAGAAAAACAATTGCAAGGTGGCCAGCCAGAAAGCCTAGGGGAACCATTCATGCTCAAGGTGTTAGTACTAAAAGGCACAATAGGAAGCAGATGTGCAGAAAAACAAAATAAAGCTGCAGGCAGGAAGGACTACCTCAGGCTACAACTGTTCCTACTGTTACTAGTTAATGAAAACTCCACAAGGAATTACTGATTTAATTACAGCTCACGGGCAACATGCTAGCTTATGCTTTTGAAATTATGCATTAGAAGTGTGCGTAGCGAATGTAGGCTCTTGCATGGTTCAACATCTCACAAGTAGAAGGAGACCTTTGATATTAAAAATATTCAGTGTGCAGGGGACAGGCATGGTGCCAGCTGTCCAAAGAACAAAATGCCATGTGGGAACATCTTCCAGGTGGGAGCTGGATCTGGCTCAGAGGCTTGCTCTGTGCTGTAAGGTCAAGTGCTTGGGCTGAATTAGGGTTACCCTAATTAATTTCTCTGTCCTATTTCAGCAAATATGGCAGGTTCTAGATCAAGGTACACTGAAATTATTATCAGACCTGAAAAAATTACTTTGGGTGAAATTTTAGGTCATTCCCAAGGTTATATGAATCCGCAACTGTTCCTGAAATAGCACTAAATACATGACATTTAAGCTGAAGGAGGAAGGTTAAACCCAGGTTTCTAAACTATTTTAGAGGCCATTTCCCTATCCAGATAACAAAAAAATGTTAAATTTTTAGTTTTCAAGGGTTTTATAGGAAATGTAACCCAGAGATTTTCCATGGTTTCTGCTCCTCTTGCTGACCCAGTCTAAAAAAGGAGAAGGCAGAAGAGAAAAAAAAAAGTCTGTTGATATTAAATGGTCTCCTGAATGCAAAAGATGCCGTTAGGAACTTTAAAGGAAATTTATGTACAGCTCCTGTGTGTCAGGGCTCAAATTTTTCCAAAAACGTTATTGTTCAACCGGATGTGTCAGGAACTAAAGCGAGTGCAATTCCATGCCAAGAAACTGATGGTAAAGAGCATCTAGCACCATATATCACCGAGAAATCATTCCAGAGGGGATAAAGATATGCAATGATTGGAACCAAAAAAGTAAGTTTCCCTATAAAATGGGCTTAGGAAGCACTTTTCTGTTATTTCTTACAAAAATTCTTCTTAGGGGAAGATTATGGGCTCTCAGCATGAATAAATATAAAGAGGAAAAAGAGGCATGTTAGGTAGATTTTGATAGTAGGCAGAGTGTCCCATCAGTAGCAAAGGGTTGGGCATGTACCTGGGCAGGCACTCCTGGCAGGGAAGAGCATTGATCTACAGATTTCTGTCAATTAGGGAACACCCATATTGATGCATGTAACAGATATTTGGGTCTTTTCCCCCCCATGTGCAGACAGATTTTAAAGCACGGTTAAGAGATTTCCATGTCAGGATTATTCTGACATTTGTTCCACATGAGATGGAAAAGGGCCAGGCTGGAAAAGCTGGAAGGAAGAAACATCCTTCCAGGCAGGAGGCATCTGGGGCATTGCAGAGGCTGCCCTCCCTATTCTTTGCTTTGTTCTCTTAACATGAGAAGCAGGGGGGACAGCTCAGACCCACTCATCCCGTTTGTCACCCTAATCCAATATTTGTTGCCTGGGTAATGTGCAAATCAAAGAGTCCCTTGGGTGTTCTTCACATGTGTGCTGGGCTGGCTGCGGGAGCTGGCTGCTCTCCTGCCTTCCTACATACTCCACAAGCCCTGGACGTGTGACTGGTTTGTATAATTCTGTACCTGCAGTATGGAATCAGCCTGGGCAGCAACAAATAGGTTTTAGTTTGTCAGCAGCATCAATTAATACATGCACGTGTGTAAATTTAGAAATATAAGTATATACTGGCAGTTTATGAAGCTGCCTCAGGCGATTGCAAAGTCCTCATTTGTTCTCACTGACCACAGAATGGTTTGGGTTGGGAGGAACCACTGGAGGTCATCTAGTCCAGCCTCACTGGAAGGAGCAGGGACATCTTCAGCTAGACCAGATTGCTCTCACCCAGATCTTTTCATGCTGAACAAGCCCCAGATATTTTCTCAGGACCACTGAATGAATGTATAGCAGAGATAGTGGAAAGCTGTAGCTGAGCAGCCTCTTTCATAGAACACACTGTCACCCTGGAGATAATCATCATTTTGGCTAACAGCAGCAGGTCAAAATGCCTTCCTGAGTTTGTTTTTTGTTGATGTTTTGAATTATGTTTATTTAGAAGACAAAGGATACCAAGTGATATTTCCATTGCCACACGTTAGACGTTATAATCCACAAACAAACACCTAGACAGCCTTATTTTTGTCAGGTTTCAAAAAATTAAACAATAAACTGCTTCATCTCTGTAGGTGACTAATGAAGAACTGAATCAGGATTCTTGTGTTGCTTTCAATTTGCAGATCCCTCCTGGAAACCGAAGTGAACTCCAAAGGACAAGGTTCCCCAGCTATCTGATGCTCTCTGTGGATGTTGAGCTGTGTAGTTCAGCCTGCTGCACTGAGTGGGCTGATATTTATTTCTCCCTTTTCTTTAAACTGACTAAATGAATTAGGGTTCAAACTGTATATTTGCTCTAGAATTTAATCTAATTCCACTCTCATTGCAGCACAACATTTTAACATAAAATAAAATAGTAAACTCAATCTTTCAGAGTCTATGGCTTGTTGACATTGAACCTCACACAGTCCTTACACCGTCTGCTTGGGACGACATGGCGCTATTAGATCAACAATACCAGCTGTTTTTTTAATTCTCTTGGGAGCCAAATTTTAAATAAAGCTAAATATTAGGTCTGAGCTTAGATCTGTTCTATAAATATTGTCATTAATTTAGAAGACATTTGTTTTGAGGGGTTTTTTACATTTAATTTTTATTGTTGATCTTTGCAATCTTGCATTTCTCATTGTTTTTTAAGGTATTCATAATAAGTGTTTTGTTTAGCATACTTCTGTGGTGCAATTTTTCTGTCATGATTAGATGTTTCTAATCTGCTCTGGGGCTTGTTTGCTTTGTCTCTGTAATAATTTTAATTACAGGACCACATACTATTTGTCACTGAGTGTCAGAAAGAGCAGGGGGCTGAGACTTCAAAGGATTTGGAATAATTTGTCTTGTTCTGGGTGTTTCAGTGATGTTTTTTGACCCCCCCAAAAATCTCTTGCATCTGTTATCTGAAGTCTTATGAGTCCTCATATGGATAGCAAGAATCATGGGATGATTTAGGCTGGGAGGGACATTAGGGATTGTTTAATTCCAATCCCCTGCCATGGGCAGGGACACCTTCCACTAGAGCAGGTTGCTCAGAGCCCCATCCAACCTGCCCTTGAATATTCCCAGGGATGGGGCATCTTCTCTGGGCAACTTGTGCCAGTGCCTCACCACCATCTCTGTGAAGAATTTCTTCCTAATATCCAGTCTAAACCTGCTGTCTGTCAGGTTAAAGCCATTCCCCTTTCTTCTGACACTCCAGGCCCTTGGAAAAAGTCCCTCTCCAACATGCCTGTCACCCTTCAGGCACTGGAAGGGACTCTCAGGTTTCCCTGGAGCCTTCTCCTCCCAGGATTACCACCCCCAGCTCTCCCAGCCATGGTGTGTGCTCTCTCAGAAGCAGGCAGAGTCGCTCAGTATGATGACACACAATGGAAGAAAAAACCATGAATACCTAAGACTAATGGTCATTTGCTAAAGGTAAATGGCTTTCATGCATGAAGATGGCGAGGATTAATCAGCATTTAGTACCAGGTGACATTTCCACAGCACAGCTGCTAATGTTTCCAGCATTATCTGTCCTTTAACACAGAGCTCGTGTATTGTACGTGGATTTGCCTCGCGCTTTGGCGGAATTCTATCAGGTCCTGCAGGCCCCAGAGAGATGATAGCAGCGCCTTCCTGCCATTGTGCGCCAGGAAGGGCCGGCTGAATGCCTGCAATTTCCCTCCCTCAGTTCTGGGATGCATTATTTTTAAACAGCCAGAGTAACAGGAACAGAAAGCTGCTCCTCCACAGCACAGGAGCAGCCGCTGAGTTACAGGACAAAGAGATCCCCACTGCAGCCTCTTCGAGCTGGTACCAACACCTGCTTCACCAGTGCTATAATCCAACATCCTTATGGCACTGGAAGTGCAAAAATGACCCCATCTTTATGTCAGAGAGATCATCAAGACTGAAAATCTGAGGCCAGATGCATTAAGAGCCCTCAGTGCCAATCAGCGTGTAAATCAGAAGCAAAATTATTCAGCCCCTGAATCCCTTCCCATATCTTTTGGTCCAGGACATGTGAAGGGATGAAGGTCTGGCTTCACATGCTACAGTGAGCTACTCTTCCCCCAAAGCTCAAATACTGTCTGTCTGTGCTGTTTCCTGGAAGATTAAGTTATCATTTTGGGCTGGAAGGTTGTAATTTGTGAGGCTTCACCAGAGATATCTGGGGTTTGTTTGTTTCTGCCTCAAATGGGAACACGGATAAGACTTAACCACAGAAAATAGTATAATTTCCAAAGTATTAGGGAGGATGAAGGATAGTAGCTTGAGAAGAGATGGTGATGTTCTAAACCTGACATTCCCACCATTTATACCACAGTAAATCCACAAAAATTGTTATTTTTCTCTCAAATGCAGAGAGACACACCATCTTTAAAAAGTTATAAAACAATGGCAGGAAAAATCTCAGGGAAAGAACACCAAAACTGAGATGTGAAGGGCTTTATGTTGGAAAAACGTTAAGAAATAAAGCCTGTGTTTTGGATTATTTGAAATGTCAAATACCTCAGTACATACCCATTGATTAAAAGTACACTCAGTATACCCCAAATACCTGTGAAACTCATCTGGAATTAGTGATGTGTTCTGCTGCATAAAGCAACTATGGAAAGAACTTGATTTTTGAAGCAAATTAGAAAAAGAAATTATTTTACTGGCTGCCAAATAATTCTTGAATATATTCAGTTTCCCAGTCCAGATAGAGAAATAAGTTAATCAAGTTAATTTTTGCTCGTTATTAAAAACAGAATTAAAAATAAACAGATGTTTTATTGCATTTTGTTATATTAAATCATGATTAAAATAAATGGAGGAAATTCCTAATAAAAACGCAATACACCCTAAGAAAAATGCAATTGGCCCTCTCATGTGTTAGGCAACCCATTTTTTATAAGCATTACTGGTCCCATTTTTTATAAGCATTTGAAGTATAAAAATGAATGAAATAGTGACAAAACTGTTTATCCAGTTTTAACTGTTTTATACTTTGCTAAGTGGTCAGGCTGTTTGGGGTAAAAGCACCTCATGTCATGAACCTTTTGTTACTCAGTCTCTTTCAGTCACATCCTCCTTTGTTTGTCACAATTGTAGAAAGATGTTCCAGACTGCTTTGGCAAAGACTCCTAGAAGCACTGTTTTCAGGTTTTAAATATCCCCTCTAGGAACAGCCATGTGCCTCTGAGCTGCCCAGAGTGGGTTTTCAAGGCTCCAGTCTTATACAGTCTTGTTTTTGTGATGCTTAAGTTTTGGAAAACAAGAAGCAGAAAGTATCTGTCTAATGAACAGCATCCAAGACTTAAAGACAACCCAGATTAGACATTGCAATTAAATCCTTAGCCTGAAAAATCCATGCTAAGCCTCTGAGCAGTATCAGCAACAACAGGAAAAAGCTTTTCCTTTCTGTACCTCCAGCACTTAAACCTGGGAAAGGCTTTTACTGGTGAGGCTGAAATGGGATTTAACACTAAAGACCAGAGCAAAAAGGGTGTCGTGAAGGTAGGCTGATAAATCAGAAAATTTATTCCAGCTGTGGATTTGGCTCCTAATAAATTGTTAGTTTTACAGAGACATATTAAAATAATAAAAGTCAGTGAATCAGCAATCTTCACAGCAAACCAAGTTACAGAAAGTTCAATCCCCACAAGAAGCTCTCTTTCTCCAAACATTTGGACATCATCTCTGTCTGCTGTGCCTTTTTGAGTTTCCCTTTTCTAATTCTGAGCAAATTACTACATGGAGCTACTTCCATGTGTCAGAGCCAGTGCTGAGCAGCAGCTGCAGCCAGGACACACCAGTCCTGCACCAGCCTGATGCAGCCAGGGAAGCAGCAAGCTGCTGTCAAGGGGATCCTCCTCTCTGGCTGTTTGCACAAAAAAAAATTGAACTTCTGAAAAGTACAATACTTCCCTCCCTCTTACTCACCCCCAAACAGCATAATTTAACCAAATAAATGGCTTTTCCTGTAGGAATTATCTTCTTTCTATTGCAGGAATCATTTGCAAGTAAATGAGAGAGGAACAAGGTGGGGGTTCAGGCTGTGAACTTCGGCAGCATTAGCAAGGAGTAGCCCTGGGTACCTCAGTGTTGTCCTGAGCACTGTCTGAAAAGTGCCTTCAAATTGATAGTTGGTTATAGCTTCTCCTGAGTAATTTCTCTGGGAAAAAAAAAAAAAAAAAAAAAAGTCTCCAGTGCTTTTTAATGCTTGGTAATACAGATGTGTAGGTCCTGGGAGAAAAAGTTCCTAATTACAATTTGGCAGTAACAGAAATTTACTACAGATGTATTGGGAAAGTACAGATCTATGCCCATAATCAGTTTTCTTTTCCCAGCATTTGCACCTTTTTTGGCCTATACATGATAGTTGGGTACTGCTTATGAAATGGAAGTCAAGAGCTGTGAGTGAAATCACACACACGACACATAAGTGGAAATAAAAAAAGCAGCTGATTTTAGAATAAAAAGCATTGGTGTCCCTTTTCACTCTGTTTTCAGCAGCTAATCATTTTTAATGAAAACATCTTTGATGGATAGGAGAAACTAGTTGGCAACTAAACTGGAGGAAGTTGACAGTGAATACATTAGCTGGGGGAGTCATCTGTTCTGTAGCTCTTTAGCAAGTGGCCTTCTATTTTAAATTTGTGTTACATCAGAGCTGGTAAAATTGTTGAGCTGCTCTGCTGAGTGTATTGAAGTCGACTCATGAGCATTGCACGCAGAGAGATTTGTTCATGTTAACCAGACAGAAACATTATATTTAGTGTTGCTGTGACTTAAATCCATCTGTCCTGACACACAGAAAGGAAGCTTAAATATGGCCTGTGTTTACAACAGCAAAACTATATGTGTGTATGTATTTATATGCATATATTATATACAAAAATATGTAGGGATTATGGCTGCTAAATCCAAGTATCATATTGGCTTATGGACCTGCAGTAATACAGACATTTAAGACAACCTGTGTGGGATTTTTTAAATTCATGTGTCTGAAGTCAACTAAAATAATAGTCATTATTATTTAATGACTATTAAATAGTGGGGTTTCTCACAAAAACTGACTTGTCATACTCCTGACATATTTCTGTTACCAAATTATGAACAAACCTTATCTAGATCTTCTCCTGTTCACACATTTTTTTCCCCAAAAAATAATTTACTGTGAATGAACGTGAGCTATGAGTTTTAGTTATGGCTAATCAATGATGAAGAGGGGGAAGAAACAAAGTGTGCTTTTCCATAATTTCTTCACATATTTAAATTTGTAGAGAAAATCAAAACTTTGTCTTGTTATAGATGAAGAAAAGTCAGTATTCATTCTCCTGAATACAGAAAGTTATTTTGCAGGTTTCCTTGCAGTTTGCTACTTTGCAGAGGTTTTCATACG